AGTTATCTAATATTTGTACCCCACATGGGCAGCACAGACTGATGATGAACTCTGGTTACGTCCGCAGGAGCTTGGCACTCAGAGCCTGGGATACTGCACCGACTTCCAGGCAGTCCCGGGCTGTGGCATCAGCTGCAAAGTCAGAGGTGTTGAGGCCATCCTGGGCATGGCCGAGGAGGGTCTCGATAAGCTGGACACTAACAGGAGCAGGGACAGCAGTGCTTCCATGGGAGATAACGCACTGATCACGTTCTCCAAATCACATGGTATGTCTGCCCCTGAAGTGACCGCCAGTCACAATGAGAGGGCTAATGAATCAACAGTGCCGACCACTGTAAAGCAATCCTATTGGACTAGGAACAACAGAAAGGTAGATTTATGGCAGAAGAAGGCAAAGAACACGAGGGCCAAAAATGTGCCTTAACAAAAATTGAAGCTCTCTCTTTCCCCTACTCTCAATCTCTCTGCAATTCAGAAACTTAAATAAGAATTTAGATGCTACAGTGATGGGTACTCGAAAAGTCCATACAATACATAGGCAATAAGGCATAGCCAGCAATGTCCCTTTTGGATAGAAGAATGGTCCAGCAGAGAGCAAAGTTTGCCAATTAGCATTATCTTCCCATTTAGAGCAGTTACCTTTAACATATGTTATCTTACTGCTCCTTTTTATATCCTACCCTTTAGTTCCATATTAACTTGGACCTTTTGTCTTCTGTTCATATATCTCTCAAGGCACTTACTTTTAAAAATAAATCTATTCAGCAGATGCACAATAAAGCATGTTATATCTGCAAACCGAGTTTCAGTGCCTGATGTTTTTGATTAGGACAATACATTTGTTTTTGTTTCAGGCTCTCTGGAAGCCACTTTGCTGTTTTGTAGTGTAGGAGAGAAAGAAAAAGTATTTAAAGCCTTTCTTAAGAAGTTAATCAGTTCTCTTCAGAAGATTGTGGCTCTCCTGACCTTTTTGAGAAAGCTGTTAGAAAAATTAAATAAAATAAGAACTTTAATCATCAGAACTGTGCCATTTGTGAATGGTGTTAATGTAATATTTTCTCACCTGCTTCATACGGCTCTTGTGAAGTTGGACTGAATTCATAATGAGGTGCTCTACAGACTGTTTCATTGTTAGAACAAAACTACTTTTTTCTTACCAGAAATAGCCTTTATATTTGAAAGCAGTCATTAGCTGTGAGAACAAAGCAGCATGGCATTTATGAAATGTGCATACTGCACTTATCCAGAAAAACAATGCCAACTGGCAAAGGCGAATACAGGCAAATACTTCCATTAAGTTCATGACGCAGTTCTGTTTATAGACGGGCAGAGACTGAGTCTTGAAGGAGAGAAGTTTTATGAGGCTGTCTTCAGGTAGTACCTATGCATTTGTGTTTGGCCATGACAGCAACACTTCAACAAGACTAACTCTGTTTGTGTCTTGGGTGTGACCACTGCCAGTCCGGAACACAAACAAAAAATTAGGAAAACCTCTTCAGAATATCTTTCTATAGCTAATGCAGCCTGACATTGTCATCTTCAAACATCTCTGGCTTGTGTTCACTATTTCTGAGTTGCTCATTTTTCTTTTTGTCTGTGCACAAAGGTCCATCAGCTTCTCATACATACTCGGTGTTGATTGGAAATCGTGAGTGGATGCGACGCAATGGCTTGCATATTGCAAATGACATAAATGATGCGATGACAGATCATGAAATGAAAGGACAGACTGCCATACTAGTGGCTATAGATGGTAACTGCTGTTCTTTGGAGTGACTTAATAAATATCAATTGATCCTACCATGGGATGGGTAAAAACAAACTCTGGAGCAATTGATCAGTGGCTTTGTGTCAAGAAACTACTAATCTTTTAGTGCAGAACTGCTTGTGAACTGCAAAGTATCAAGGTGTTCTTAAAAGAAGCTTTCACCTCAGAACAGTGTTTATAAGATTTTCTTGGGTAGTTTTTAATTTAAGTATTAATTTCTGAACCTCCTGTTGTCTAGGCCTGTTGTTCAGAAAAGCAGTGCCAGTGCAGTGCCATGTCCCATCCTGACTTTACATCACTTAAATATCACACACCAACCTATTGCATCACTGATTTCAAAACATTTCATGAATAAACATGATGATTCGTTAAATCATTCAAGTATAATAGATTAGACTAAATGAGTTTTGCCAGAGGGGTTCTGTTCTGTGCTATGCAGAAAGACATCCCAGACAGTACCTTAATATGAGAAACTGCTATAACAGCGATAGATTGCCAGTGCATCTGTGATCTTGAAATGGGGCCTCTGATTCAATTACTGAATAAATATTCTTGGTGCTCCTCCACAGCAATTTTGAGAGGCATTTGCATGTCTCAGCCTGGGCTCCATCAGCAGTCCAGCAAAATCAAATGCTCTTGACATGGAAATAAGGGCTCTGATGTACAGCTGGCGTTCCTATCGCTGCTAGCGATAGCGAATAGAGATACAGGGGTGCAAAACCTGCTTAAGTCCTTACTTTTGAAAGGTAACATGCAATGATAAACCAATGTGAGATTTTTGTAAGTCACGTGAAGGAAACGTGGATACACCTTCGAGTCAATATGTTGGAAGGCAGGTGCAACACTTCTGTAAGAAAGTAATTAATTATAATAGAGATCCAACCCGGAAAGATTAGGGGACGTAAAACCAGATATTCTATATGCTTCCTCCTGGAGGATTGGCTTCAACATCTGACCTGGGCACAAATACCAGAACTTTCTCTGGCCCACTATCTTATTTGTCCATACCATAAAACCTAGAAGTCAGGCATATTTAAAAGCTACCCTCCTCTTCTCCCCTTCCTCCTGGTCCCTAAATTTCAAAGGTGTTTGTTGTTCGATCTGAAACAGGTAAATGAGAAAAGTGTGTGTGTGTGTGTGTGTAAGAAAAAGACCATAGCTTACAAAACTGTAGACAGTTGTTCAGGCTTATGAGTGTCAATGTTGCCCAGCATGTGTTATTTCACAAGCCACCAATGGTATGATGGAGGGCAAGTCGTGTTCTCTTGCTGCCATTTTGCCTCCCACAGCTTTCTCTAACAGAGGACATTTCTTTGTGCAGGCATGTTGTGTGGAATGATCGCAATAGCAGACACTGTCAAGCAGGAGGCAGCCCTTGCTGTGCACACACTGAAAAACATGGGAATAGATGTGGTGCTGATAACGGGGGACAACAGAAAAACGGCAAAAGCCATTGCTACTCAGGTATCTGCTTCTTTGCGTTTCAAAAAAATACATGATGATGTTCTAAAACTCTGCTTACCCCAGTGAATTTGGAGCAGGAGCTCAGAGTTTCCCTGGATACATTAAATGAAGACTAACTTTTCTTGAATTGGACTGAAAATCAGGTCAGGTACAATGGCATAGAAAAGGCCAATGGCTGCATTAAGATCCCACTGAAGACAAGCAGTCAGTACTTCTCCAGAGGTACAGTGTTTCTTGCAGTAATTAGTCTGTTGCTGAACTGAAGCCTCCTGCTTCCCTTCACTGAAGGACAGTCATATTTGGTTAGTGACAAAGGAAAGTTCCTTTAAGGTCCAGTCCTGTTACCAAGAAGGGAAGTGGGGATCTTTAAGGGTGACATAGTAATAACAATAAGAATTACTGTTAAGAAGCATAGCAGTCTAAAAGAAGCTGGGTTTATATGAGATTTCCTTGATCTCAAACTATGAATGTTGCTCCAAAGGCAAAGCCAAATTCTCACTCTACCTTACTACATTTCCACCCTCTCCATCTTAATTTCCCTTTTTCCCTTTGCATCGGTCTACTTCTAATCTACCATGTGCCACCTTGCTTTCCTAAGGTATCTGTCCTTGTTTCGGCTGGGATAGAGTTAATTTCCTTCCTAGTAGCTGGTACAGTGCTGTGTTTTGGATTTAGGATGAGAATAATGCTGATAACACACTGATGTTTTAGTTGTTGCTAAGTAGTGCTCACACTAGTCAAGGACTTTTCAGCTTCCCATGCCCTGCCAGCGAGAAGCTGGGAGGGGGCACAGCCAGGACAGCTGACCCAAACTGGCCAAAGGGATATTCCATACCATATGACGTCATGCTCAGTATATAAACTGGGGGAAAGCTGGCCGGGGGGGCCGCTGCTCGGGGACTGGCTGGGCATCGGTCGTCGGGTGGTGAGCAATTGCATTGTGCATCACTTATTTTGTATATTCTTTTATCATTATTATTATTACTACTATTATTTTCCCTTCCTTTTCTGTCCTATTAAACTGTCTTTATCTCAACCCACGAATTTTACTTTCTTTTTTCCCCGATTCTCTCCCCCATCCCACTGGGGCAGGGGGAGTGAGCGAACAGCTGTGTGGTGTTTAACTGCCTGCCGGGTTAAACCACAACAGTATCCCACCACACAGCTAACTCAGTCAGCACTGTGGTATGCACGTTCTCACATGTTGTGAGGTCTGTTTTGTTTCTCAGTGTGATGCTTTAATCCTTCTCCTATTTTGATTCACGCTTTCGCTTTTGTGTTCAATTGTGGTAAAGCACGTTCCCACCCCACCTTTCTTTGTTAAGAGAAGAAGTCTTTCAGAAACAAGCTTCGATTTATGGTTCCAGGCACTCAAGTGAAGTTTTCAAACAAGCTTAGTCTGTGCCAACCTACATTTTCATTGAATTTTTGGCACTTACTTCCTTTTCAATGGAAAAATGGTAAGCCAGTCCTAAAAACTTTTGAAAATGTTACTTTTTGAAAGATTTTGAAAGGTTATGGCCTCAAGTTGCGCCAGGGGAGGTTTAGATTGGACGTGAGGAAAAATTTCTTTACTGAAAGAGTGGTTAAACATTGGAACGGGCTGCCCAGGGAAGTGGTTGAGTCACCATCCCTGGAGGTATTTAAAAGACGTGTAGATGAGGCACTTAGGGACATGGTTTAGTGGGCATGGTGGTGTTGGGTTGACGGTTGGACTCGATGATCTTAGAGGTCTCTTCCAACCTTAATGATTCTATGATTCTATGATTAAAAGAGAGCTTCTACCTTATGTAGTGAAAAGCTGATCTCTGCCTGGTGAGGCAGCCAAACCAGGGGCATTATACCAGCCCTTTTTTGTACACCCACCTGTTTTTCAACTACAGCGCTAAAGCCATTGGTAGCAACTCCATATTAGTTGAGATGTGGATGGGTACAAGCGTTTAGCCAGCCATCTGCTTTATTTTCATCGTTTCCCTGAGACTTGCACATACTTGGCGTTTCTGTGTTTCCCCTAGTGTAACTGCCTGATTATACGTGGTTCCTGTGTTGCATTTCACTGAAACTTTTATTGGTGCATCAAGCAGCGTGATTAGCTGAAAACTGGCTCTTTTAACCATCAAACCTTTATTGCCAGGGCAGTAGAACTTCAGAAGCCCTGCAGGGCATAACACTAAGGGCAGAGCATGGTTTGCCAGCATCTCTGCGGTAAAGATGGAGGGGGCTGTAATCAGTCCCTTTCTTGTGCCAAAGGCATGTTGCTCTTCAGCTTTCTGTGTAGCTTGCAAGTGTTGCCTCCACCAGCATCAGTTTGGTTGATCTTCCTTTATTTCCCCTTCAACCAGAACAGCAAATGGCTCTTCCTTTTAGCATGAAGCATATGACCAACTGGGTATGTTTCTTTCTTTGTATGTAGGTTGGGATCAAAAAAGTCTTTGCTGAGGTTCTTCCTTCTCACAAGGTTGCAAAGGTCCAGGAGCTCCAAAATGGGAGGAGGAAGGTTGCGATGGTTGGTGATGGAGTCAATGATTCCCCTGCACTAGCCAGGGCTGACGTTGGAATTGCAATTGGAACAGGCACCGATGTTGCCATTGAAGCAGCAGATGTTGTTCTTATCCGAGTGAGCACTACAGTTTTGACCTGTCCTCTTTTAACACTGACACTCCTCTTTTTGGTTTGGTATTCTGAAGACTGCATGTGGAAAACTTTCAATGCTCTTCTGTCTTGCAGAATGACTTACTGGATGTAGTTGCCAGTATTCACTTATCAAAGAGAACGGTTCGAAGAATACGAATGAATCTGATTCTTGCCTTAATTTATAATCTGCTTGGAATACCCATAGCAGCAGGTATGTGATTGCTAGAGCTCAGCTTGTCGAAGACAGCAGCACAGTTGACTCTGTGGTGCCTCTTGCAGGATTTCCTGCTCAAGGAACCAAAGAGAGGTTCCTAGACTATTTAAAACTTGGCACAAGGAGGACAAAATAAATACTTTTTTTTTTTTCATGTTGTAGGAAAAAATCTTTGTTCCCCAAATTTTAAACTCTTAGGAATAAATTCTTATATGATGAAATTAAAACCATGCTCTTATTTCACATAGCGGTACTTGGGGTTTAGCTTCTGTATATTTAAACCCAGCTCTAGTCAGAGATACCATCCCAGTTCTGGGTGCTCCCTCTTTTATTCACCCTGAATCGCACATTTTCTCTCCTACTACTTGCATTCTCTCTGCTTCTGTCAGATATCTTCTCATGCTCCAGATTCCTCCTTAAAACTTACTTCAAGCATTCCTCTTTATGAGTAACTTCTCCCTCCTTTGCCTGGACTATTGCCTTGTCTTTCTGTTGCTTTTGCTGTGTTTCATATGTGCAGAATAGCTGGAAGGGACAAATAGTCTTACCTTGTGGCCACAGTCTTGTAGCTGAATTGGTGCAAAGGTCATCCCTTGCAATGGAAGGGGCATATTTAAAAATAAGTGAGTAAATATATATCAGTCTAGTTTTGTTTATGGAGGTCTCATCAAGTCATGTTGTAGAACTGCTGATTTGTTCTATGATATGCAGGGTCAGAAATGTCTGTATTGGGACAGGTGGCTCTGGCTGATGTCCATATGTTTTTTTGCTAGGTGTGTTCATGCCTGTTGGCCTTGTGCTTCAACCTTGGATGGGATCAGCTGCAATGGCAGCTTCTTCTGTGTCTGTCGTGCTGTCTTCCCTGCAGCTGAAATGGCAAGTTGTCTTATACTCATCAGTTGGGGAATAGTAGGCAGCACTGCTGCTGGGACTCAAGTGAGACGTTGCTTTGGGCTTTGTATACCTAAAAGTATCTGACAGTCCTTTAGGTTGGGGCTGTTCTGTCTAATCCTTGGCTCCAAAAGAGACAGATGTCACTATTATGAACACACCTGGACTAAGACAGTACTGAGCATTCTTTAACTAGCAGCTAAAAGTGTGACTGGATGCCACCTGGGCACCTGTGTGGGAGATCTAGTTCAATACCAAGTGAGGTAATGATCAGCACTGGTTTTGCTGTGAATATCAAGTGAACAAATCATTCAAAAGGCAGTTCTCCATAATGTAGCAGTAGATGTCTTTTTAAAAGATTTGTACCCTTTTTTATTTTTTTTGTCTGTTTAATTTAGCCAGAGAGAAACAGAGAAGCAGTGTATTTATTCTTTTGCACCTTGCTACAGATAAAGTATGTTGCTCTATTTTTTTGGAAGCAAACCAATTTCTGACCTATAACAAGATTTTTCAAATTCTATTATTTTTTTATGCTACATTTTTTGGGTGCAGTTACAGTGGACCTGTTTTTAACAGCATTGTGAGCAAACATCTTTCAAAAATAAAGACTTTTTACAGTGTCTGAAATTAGTCCAAACCTTCAGATATTCCTACTGTAGCTGGGGGTCTTCTGTGTAGTATAGTATAGTACAGTACAGTAAAGTATAAACTAATATAGGAAATCTGTTGCTGCATCATGATTCTGATGCTGCAAATGCTCAATGAGACCACAGTCATTTACATTTACTCAGAATAAAAACTACATACGTGCTCATGTCTGTTTTCAGAATCAGCCCTACCACTACAGGATTTTCATCCTAAAAACTTACTGTGTGTAGTTATCCAAAGGATGAGAAATTTCTATAACGGGATTCCTTATTCTCCGATTCTTTTGATCTTGTGCTGATTACATTAAGTATCAGACGCCATTGTGGTTATATATTGAGAACCCCCTAAAACATATTTGGCTTCAGACTTATGGGAGCTGTATTACAGTATACTCTGTAGAACAATAATCTTTCTTGAAGATCATCAGCTGAACAGAACTTCAAATTCCAAAGAACACGATAATACATATATGTGAAGAAGACCATGCATACTTGCCATTGCTGGGCTTTTTTTGACCTAGAATACGTTGAATCAGAAAGTGATTTTTGGGTCATCAAGTCCATTCCCCTGCAATTGTCTACTATGAGCCCTTTCGTAATTCAGCAAACTCATAATTTTTCTTAAAGAACCTCACTTTGAGAGTCCCTCTCTTTCACTGTTGAAATGTCTTAATGCCGTGTGACCAGTACTCTTAGCCATTATCATTGTGTCTGAAGTGCAGGTAACATTTAGGTTGTCAGAAGTTTCTGTTTGTTCTAATGCCGAAGATGCTTCTACACATTGACCTCTTGGTACTAAACATCTTTTCTCTTTCTCTTCTTAGTTATAAGAAGCCAGACACAGAAAGTTATGAAGCACAAGCTCAAGGCCGCATGAAGCCACTTACTCCTTCCCAAATCAGTGTTCATATTGGAATGGATGATAGGAGGAGGGATTCATCCAGACCGGCTCCATGGGATCAGATTAGCCAAGTGTCTCTCTCTTCCTTGACTTCAGACAAGCTGCCAAGACATAATGGTTTTGTTGAGGAGGAAGAGGACAAGTGGTCATTGCTCATGAATGGAGGAGATGAAGAACAGTACATCTGAAGCACTGCATTCTTAGTACAGGAGGAAACATTCCTCCTCACCGGTGACGGGAGGGACTGACTTAATGTCGTCAAGAGCTCCAAGGTTGTAAGTGAAGTCATTTCTTTAGCTCACAAAACAATTGCTACTCAGCTCAATGTTCAGTTGTATGGACTGTGGATTTTTTTCAGGTCACCAGTTATTTCTAGTCACAGAAAGAATCTGTGGCTCTACAATGAACTGACTCCTTTGCACACAGCAATTAGTGAAATAATGTAAAATTGTAATTTTCAGAGTCTAAAAGAGTTTCTCTCTTCTAGACTGTTTGCTGGGCACCAAATTTCATACTTTTCACTCTTTCTGACTTTATTCTTTCAAGAGTACATGAAGCAAAAGTATTTTCAGAGCTGCCAAATATTAATTTCTGTGTCCAAGTGAAAATAGCCACGGCATAAGGAGCTCTGTGATCAGAAGCTGTATTTTTACACAGAATCCTAACTAGTCACGTCACTGTGAGAGCAGTTTGTATTCAGGATTCATGTGCGTCTCCTTGGACCAAAAATGCTTTGGTGTTTCACTGACTATAACTCTCTGAAAGGTCTCTTTCAAAGATTTTCACTTGCTTTCAGGTATCGCATCCTTTTGATGCACATTTCCATTGCTAAAATTGTTCTGTCATTCCCACTGCTCTCCTAGATTTTCTCTTTTGCTCCATGTGAGCTCTTTTTTCCCCTTTCTTTGCACAAGATATCTTCTATGAGTTATTATTATGTTTACAGATATTCCTGTTTGGGACAAACTCCTTTAAGTCACCAGGAACGTTTCCGTTCCTGTTGAAGTTCACAAAGGCAGAGCAATTCCTGGTCCAAGTTAGCATATCATTTTCCTGTGGATACCTTGCAGGACCCCGTAAAGCTCCTGACAATTGGTCAGTTGTATGTCTCTTCCCTCTGACAGAGTGAAGAATTTATGCCAGTGTGAGCGAAGGTGGTATTTACCATGGTGTGACTGGTGTGACTCCAGCATGGCTGAATGGAGTGAGTTTATTGCATAAGTTAACCCCAGCTTGCTGGTTGCTTAAAATGGAGCCAAAAGTTTAAATGGTAAAGGTGGAAAAATGGCCTTAAAATGTGGGGCTTCTATTTGCTATCATAGAAATAACATTTTCTGATGACAGAAGGACTTGAACTAAGATGATTTGTAATAGCTTGAATTTTAATGTAAATTTGTATTCATGTTTTTAATTGGTTTTAATTTTCCTTTTTGCTCTAGTTTCATGAGAAATCAAGGTGCTGAACAACCCTTTTTTCACTTTAACATCTTTACCAAAGCTTGCAGTAACTTTATCACTGTGAATGTCAACTTCATCCCTGAATGCTTTTTAGTCAGGACAGTAGGAATCAATGGCTTTGGTGCACTGAATCTGGTCCTGGGGTGCTGCATTGCTCAACTGTAGGACTCTGAAGCAAGCAGACCGGAGTTTTATAGTCTAATCTAAAAAGTGAAAGAACAGGAATTACCGTGCTAAGCAATGTGAAATAACCAGTTAATTTCACTGACTTAAATACAGAACTGTTTCCAACATGGGTTCAAATCCTCATCCTCCTCCTCCTAATATAAAAATGAAAAACAGGTCAGAGAGAAAAAGAACTGTGCTTAAAGCATTGAGCAGGTCTTCCTATTCTCTCTTCCTCTTAATATTATATTTGAGCTTTCCTTAGCAAACATGGACAGCACTGTCTTAAATATAATTAAAAATCAGTTTTAAAACTGTAAAATCTCTTTACATTACTTCCATAGCACACACACTTTTCAAACATGCCATAGGTTCCTCTACATATCCCTGTGGGGAAGATGGTCTACTGTTTCACTGTTTTATGTTTTCTTACCAGTGCTTACAGTAAAAATATTGTGGTTTTTTTTAAACAAGCAAATAACTTTGTGTCTTTGTTTTTCTTTTTTTGGAGGGGTACAGCAAAAAAAAAAGAGCATAAGCAGTGATTGTTGGATTGCAGGATACATATGCACAAGAGAGATTTTGTGACTGCTTTGTGATCTATTTCAGGCAGGATATATAGCAGGGAAAAAAGAGAGAGTTTTGTATTGTATGTTGAGGCAGGTGAGGTTGCAAGCATGTTGAAAGATGGAATTAGGATTCAAAATCATCTTGAGAAATTGGACAGAACTGACAAACTTTGCAAACAGGACAGAGGGAATTAAAGGTCAGCTTGGCAGAAGAAGGTCAGGTAGTTGGCGAGCATTCATTTTGTGACTCATTCTAACAACATAGTGATGCTGCAAAATCAACAGAAGCATTGAGATGTATAAAGACTGTATCATCCATATGACATGAAATACCTCTTCCTGTTCAGCTCTGGAGAGGCATCAGCTGAAGTATCAGGTCTAGTTTTATATGTCATACTTGTAAGGAAAAAAACAGAGACAGTTCAGAGAAGAGCAATGAGATTTAACAGAAATCTAGAAAACATGAGAACATAAGTACACGAGAATGAGAAATATAAGAAGATCATCGAAGGAGTTTGGTAGGTTTGCCTACAGAATACTCAAAGGAAATACAATTCTCCAAACACAAAGAGAACAATTTATTCCTTTCATCTTTTAAGTGTCTTTTATGTTCGTGGTGGCTAGAACAAGAAATAATAGGCTTATTGAATCAAAGAAGATTTAGATTAGTCACTAGGGAGGAACCGTGTAACAGGGAAGATTATGGAGCACTGGAAGAGATCGCCAAGGGGGGCTCTTCGGATGTGCATGGCAATCAGGCACATATCTGATGAAAATGCGTTAGCCAGAGGTGAATCCTGCCTTGGGGCCGGTGACTGCCCTGGACAGTCTCCTGATCTTCTCTCCAGCTGGCCTTTCTCTTATTTCTGTAAACGTAATATGAACCGGAAATTTATTGGAGTAGAGGACCAATCACACTATCCTGCTCTCAAGAGGTGCCAAAGGACTGGAAGAAAGATTGGCTTTGACTTTATTTAATAACTTGAAATGAACTGGAAAATATGTTAAGGTTTCCTAACTATGTTTGCATAATGTCTTAGGCCGTAAACTGCTGTGAAACTTGCATAAATGCCTATAAGGAAGTTAGAATAGCTACACATAGCCAAGAAAAAGAAATATAAGTGCTAGTCCTGACACTTGTGATCATGTGCTCTTGTTAAAGCTGAGCTGACTGGAGGGGCGTACGAGATGGAGGACAGCATCTGCATTTCTGCATAATATAATTATAAGCTTTCCTTGCCTTCATTGGGACCATCTGCCTGCAGAGCCCCCGGCAGAGCAAGGTGCTGGCCTGTGACTGGTGCTGCTCTGTGCTATGAGCCAGGTCCAGTAAAAGGGCTGGAGGAATGTGCCCGAGAGGACAGGCTCTTGGGGTACTCCTTAAGCTCGGTGCCCTGGCCACTCGCCAGTACACCACGCTTCTTCTCTTTCTCGGGACTGCGTATTTTGATGGATTAGTCAGTGTGAAGGAGCTTTTCAAATCCCAGTTTTGGTCTTAGGTGTCTACATTCTGCACGTTCTCCCAGCATGACTCAGTTACTGCTGTTCTGACCCTAAATGTTGATGTATCTGATGATTTACATGGGATGTTTAGTTATTTTGCCCTGAGAAAAGTTCGTGAGTCTTTTCCTGTAACTTTTTTTTTTTCTTTTATGAACACAAAAGATGTCTAATGAATCAGATCTTTTACTTTGTCTTTCATGTTATTTTTAGTGCAATAGCTCAGGAGCAGTGTTTCCCATGAAGTTTTTCAACTATTTTCCTTCTCATGCTATAGTTTTGCTGTAAAATTCTTTGGTGCCCTAAGTTCACAGGAAAGAAATTATTCCATTTCATTTCCTCCTCCCTTCCCCCTTTTTCAAGCAAATTAACAGTCTGATTTCTATCCAAGCTGATTACAACCTTTCTCTGACTAAATATTTTTCCAAGGATTGTATTTCCTCTAAAAGCACTTGTGTGTGAAGAAAACAAACGAGTAGGTGGTGAAATGGTACAATGGTGTACAGGGATGGGAAATCAGATAACACTGAAATGTCGGATTTAATTTCCTCTACTAAGACGCCAACAGTGTGTTGGTTTTCAGTGGGAAATCGTTTGAGAGTCACAAGAAAACAAGAAGTGGCGAAGGGCAAAGCATCCTGCTCACATGTGAGTCTGAGACAGGCACAAACGTGGGAGGAGGCAAATTAATTCCTCTCCTTGTCTTGAGTTAAAAGCACCCAGGCTTTGCAGGCAAGCATGGCCTGCCCACCCACAGGCTCTCCATGCAATGATCTGATTTTCACGATTTGTTAATCTTCATGCATAGAAGGACGATTTCTGAAGTTTCCCCTGGTGCTGCAGGTGAAGGGGAAGGGATGTCGCAGGAGGAGGTGTGTGATTGTTTCCCCATTTGGGCATTCAGCCGCCCCAGGTGGAGGTAAGTCCCCTGGGAGATTTGTGCTGGTCAGTGCTGGTCACTGCTGGTCAGTGCTGGTCACTGCTGTGGTCCAGACAGGCCAGTGCGAGGTTCAGGTCGGGGGGCTGTGCTGCCTGGCAGCCAGCACCTCGCCTCGCGGGGGACCACGAGATGTCACTGCAGGTCCAGTCCAAGCCAGAGAATCCCCTTAATCTGTAAAGCATCTGAAAATCCAATACATCCAATGGTGGTTAGCAGCAAAGGAAAAAAATGCAAAGGGTGCAGTTTAAGTCAAATAATATAGTGTGCCTAAAATTTTGGGCTGACTTGACATTATATAGCCCAGGAACAGATTTCAGGCAAGTGTTTATTTGCATTGAGCTCTGAATTGCTACCTTATTTGTATTATTTGACACTTAAGTAATTCCTGAGCTCCACATATGCTGTCTGCTGAAATTATTGTTAGCTTTTTTTTTGCCTTTGACAAGTTGAGATTCAAGAAGAAAAGCAGCACTTCAGAAGGGCGAAGCATGGTGCCTGCGCCCTCAGAACAAACCTGCGCTTTGTGAAGTGAGTTTAAACTCCCTAGGCAGCTGAGGGTGCAAGACTGCTTGTTTGGTTGGGTTTTGTTTTAAGCAGACTCTTACTGTGGAGTAAGCCACCATGTAGACCCACTGTAAGGCTCCAGGAATGTGTTTCTGTTCAGGAGAGTACAAAAGCACAAGTGTAAATCCTTTTGAAGTCAATGAAGATAAGGCACGTGCTCAACGCTCCTCTGAACTACAGCTGCACGTCTCATGATAGATATAAAAAAAAATTTAGGCATAAGTCTGAATATTTGAGGCCTCCACCCACTTAGGGAGCTACCCAAAATTC